CACTCAAACCACACCCAAAAAAGCCTATCAAAGGTACCAGGGGCATCTCATGGGGCCCCCAACTGACCCTGGGCCCTCGGGCAGTGCCCGAGTGCATGAATAGTCAGTCCGCCCCTGCTTGTAACATGTGTATTGCTATTAATCTTCAATACATACATAGGTGCTCAAAACATGTGTTTACGTTCGTACATGTATGTGCATTGGGGTGGGCTCACAATTTTGTGCGTGTGTGGAGCTTTATTTTTTTTGCACTTTTTCTTTCACTTAACTTTATTTTTATTGCTAGTGATGGGCCGAATACCCCCCTGTTTGGTTTGAGGGCGAACCTTCGAACCTAACGAACGTTTGACCGCGAGCTTTGAACAGAGGGGGCAATTCACTAAGCGGTATCTTATTGCACCTGAGTATTAGATAAGATACTGCACAGCTACTAAAAACATTCTTTAATGTTTCAGCTGTCAGTGGGGTTCCCCGCTGACAGCTAAATGTAAAAATAATTGCCGGCATTGCCTGGCAATTAAGAAAAAACAATGGTGTGGGGTCCCCCCCATCCATACCAAGCCCTTTAGGTCTGGTATGGATTTTGAGGGGAACCCCCACGCCAGAATAAAAAAAAATGGCGTGGGGGTCCCCCCAAACCCATACCAGACATGTGACATCATGATCGCCACCTCATCCAACCAGAGAATACCTTGTATTCATTGAACGAATATAAGACGTTCTATGAATGTGGTGGCGCAGTGCTAGTGATCCCCTGCGGTCAGTATATAGTGGGACAGCTGCTCATATAGATTTGAGCAGAACCTGGAATATTGCGGCCATCACTATACTGACTACTACAGTGATTGTCAGCTCTCCCAGCAGCCCACTGGGCTTACATTGTGGTAAGGTGGACAAATGTAAGTATGATATACAGAAAATATCTGGAGTTCACCTTTAATGTGGTTAGTCTGGGCACAGCCCTACCCTCACCCCTTGTCTTCACCTATGATCCATAATGATGATTCTCAGCCTCAGAGTGGCCATTTACGCTTGGATAGGGCCGCATATGGCTATTATATACACAGATAAATGGGACTTTAATAGCACACAAACACAATCTTGTAAAATCAATAATTTACTATTTCTTTTTAATAAAATGTATACCTCATATAGGACATAACAATGCATTCTAAGGCTGGTAATATTTGTCCAACAACAATCTCTTACATCCAATCTACCACATTTTTGCTGTTTTGCATAGTAATACCATATCCAAGCTGCAACCATTGCATCACTCTTTACTGAAGAAATAGTAGCTCTCTACGCGTTTCATGAACAATGTTCACTTCTTGAGGAGAATGTAAAATACATGCTAGAGCTAGAACAAATCTAGGTATTATAACACACATTTTTTTATCTATGCTCTTTTATCACACAGCCATCTTGTTATGTATGTTTAAACATATCCATATAAAGTATCTCCCAGAAGTGAGTCCACCCCTCACATTTTTGTAAATATATTATTCGATCTTTTCACTGAAGAAATGACACTTTGCTACAATGTGACGTAGTCAGTGTACAGCTTGTATAACGTAAATTTGCTGTCCCCTCAAAATAACTCAACACACAGCCATTAATGTCTGCTAAAGGCCTCTTCTGAGTGGAACCTGTCCTGTTACACCGCTGTATGGTCTTGGCCATCGTGCTGCAGCTCAGTTTCAGGGTCTTGGCAATATTCTTATAGCCTAGGCCATCTTTATGTAGAGCAACATAAAGAGTTCTTTGCCATGAGGTGGCATGTTGAACTTCCAGTGACCAGTATGAGATAGTGAGAGCGATAACACCAAATTTAACACACCTGATCCCCATTCACACCTGAGACCTTGTAACACTAATGAGTCACATGACCCCGGGGAGGGAAAATGGCTAATTGGGCCCAATTTGGACCTTGTCACTTAGGGGTGGACTCACTTTTGTTGCCAGAGGTTTAGACATTAATGGCGATGTGTTGAGTTATTTTGAGGGGACAGCAAATTTACATGTTATACAAGCTGTACACTGACTACGTCACATTGTAGCAAAGTGTTATTTCTACAGTGTTGTCACATGAATAAGTAGAATCAAATATTTACAAAAATGTCACTTCTGTGAGATACTGTACATCTCTATGGCAAGTGTACAGGATGTCAGAGATGGATGCCCCATTAACTAGGTTGCGGTTCCTATAAGGGCGACCAAAATATGCACCATGGATTATTCAAGGATTCTCACCCATGCAGGTGATCCAATAAAGAGGGAAAACTGACTTGCAATTTTCCAAGGATTGGTAAATTCCAATATGGGACCCAGAATTCGAAGGCTCGGAGAGATTTTGGGTGGGAAAAAGCTCTAAACCTTGACTTTGGATACTTTGGTTGTGAAAGGGTTAGCTCACCTTCGAGAGAAGGCTGAAAAGAGCAGGGAGCAGCAAACAAATGTCCCAGAGGTGTGGTGTTAAGAACATACTTGTGAGAAAGAGCTATGTGCTGTTTGTTACTGAGATGCTGCTGAGATCTTGCAATGTTTCTGTACTCTTAATATCCCATTCACACTTGTCCGACCTGCCATGAGACTTTTGACATCAAAGTCACATGAAACGTACCTCATGTTTTGCATCAATAACCATTCATATACTGTATATACAACATAATGTCGCAGCGATTTCAAAGTACTGTACTAATTTGATCTGACTTTCATGCAACTAGATGGCCATGTTAACCCTCAAAAGTTGCATGAAAGTCATACCAGAATTTTTTAATTGCAACAGTGGTACAACAGTGGGTTCGACTTTGCAGAGGGACTACAAGTCATATTCATGTCACACCCATCCAAAGTTGCACTCCAAAGTCTAACAACTTTGTAGTCATACAATTGTAAATGGAGCCTTAAGCATATGGGAACTTCAAAACCCTGTTGTGAGACAGGTTTATGCTGGCGGTGAGACAAATCTTTATTTTGTCTACAAGAATTATGGATTGTTTATTTTACACTGAAGTCAGGCTGTTTTGTTTATCTTTTATAAAATAAAGACACTTTACTTTTACCAATGTGACTAACTGGTGATCTGAACTCCCTCCAATTTTGCATGGTATATAAGCAGACACATCTGACAGCCACTTACATGGACAAAGCAGCCTTAACATTAAAGTATTGTGAAGTCTTCTTTCTTTTAAAATAACAAACATGTCATACTTATCTGCTCTGTGCAGTGGTTTTGCACAGATCAGACTTGAGCCTTCTTATCTCGAGTTCCCTCGAGGTACTCTTGGCTCTACCTCTTTTTGGTGGAATCCCATAGCAAGCAGCTTCCTATGGGGGTACCACCTGCGGGCTCACTAGCAAGTCATTCTATCTGTGTCCATAGACACAGACAATGTGGCTTGGCCCCTCTCTATGCTCACTCATCACAAGATTTTACTGACAGCAACCTTCTGCTGCCTTAGCAAAGCTTGTGAAACCAGAAAGTGGGAGGAATGTGATGGGCATGATAGGCACAGTGCTGGATCGAGTGAGAGATCAGGTAAGTAGAAGGGGGGTGAGGGAGCTATACTGGTACCTAAACATTTTTTACCTTAATGCAGGGAATGCATGAAGGTGAAACATGTTTGGACTTTAGAACCACTTTAGGCCTTAAAGCCCATTTCCAGGCAAAAAAAAAAAAATCCCCATGCAATGGGACTGTGTCTGAACTGCATGGGCTAACTGCTCATTTTTTCTAGGGGAGGGGAGAAAGGAAATGTATTTACCTAATCCTCTGATCCTCGAAGGACAAGACTGGTCAGATACCTCCGAGCTCCAGCAGTCTTGAGTTGCAGATTGTTCCTGACATCATCAACTCCAAAGCAGGCTCCATAGATCAGCAACAGTCCACCACTGGACCATGGGAAAGCACTGGTTTCAAGTGGAATGAAGGATCTTTCTCTTCACCACTAGACTAAATGATCAGTTGACCAGTGCAGTTTGGGCACAGCCATCTGCATGTGAAAACATTTTTATTCAGGGAGTTGGGTTTTAAGGTGTCAGATTCTGTTCTGAACAGGGGAGAACTGACAACTCATGGGGCCCCCAGGCAATAGGGGATCATGAGGCCCCTGTGTCCTTGACCACACTCAAAGCACACCCAAAGAAAGCCTATAAAAAGGTACAGGGGCATTTGATGGGGCCCCTACTGACCCTGGGCCCTCGGGCAGTGCCCGAGTGCTCTAATGGTCAGTCCGCCCCTGGTTCTGAATGTATACACTGCAAGATCTGATGTATGTTGTTTATAAAGGTGAACTTTACAGCTAGTGTCTAAGCCACTTTACAGGGAAGCTGAGTTATATCTACATCCGAAAGCTTTTTTTCATTGCTTGGGCAAGGACCCTTTTCACCTCTTGGTTCCTCAGGCTGTATATAAGAGGATTCAGCATTGGAGTCAGTATTGTATAAAAAATTGAGGCCACTTTGTCTTGTATCTCAAAAGCCTCTGAATGAGGGCGGAGATAAATAAAGAAGACCGCAGTAATGAAGGTGGAGAAACAAATATGTGAGGAACATGTACTGAAGGCCTTCTTCCTACTCTTACTGGATGTCATCCTAAAAAAATGGAAACAAATATGAAAGTGTACGATAAGAAGATTGTTATCAATATATATATTCCACAAGCTGCTACAAGGATGGCAGTTACCATTTCACAATGGAGAGCGTTGGAGCAGGACAGTTTGAGCAGTGGTGGGATGTCACAGTAGAAATGGTCAATCAGGTTCGATCCACAGAATGGAAGGCTGAACACACAACTGGTCTGCACTACTGACTGTAGGAAGCTAACAAAGGTGGAATAAATGACCAAACTGAGACATTTCTTCTTGGTCATTATCAAGGTGTAGTGCAGCGGGTGGCAGATTGCCACATAATGGTCATAAGACATGCTTGAGAGAAGAAATAGCTTCAGTGCTTCCCAGTGCACTAAAGAAGTAGAACTGGAGGGTGCAACCAAAAAATGAAATTGATTTCTTGGAGGATAGGAAGTGAGACAACATATTTGGTGTGATTACTGAGGAGTAACTAATATCCACCATAGACAGACTACTCAGGAAGTAATACATTGGAGTGTGAAGGCTGGAGAAGGTATGGACAAGAGCCATCATCCCAACGTTTCCTGCTATGGTCACCATTAGAGATGAGCGAATTATTCAAAAATTCGATTCGGCTGATTCGCCGAATTTGAGGAAGAAATTCGATTCGATGCGAATTTATTCGCTACGAATTTAACTTATAAAAAGGGTTTCTAGGCTTCAGAGAGCCTTTAAATTAGTGCAGAACACTGTACCTTTAATTTAAATGCCCTTGGAGATGAGGAAGAGAAGGAGAAGGAGAAGGATGAGAAGAAGGAGAAGGATGAGAAGAAGGAGAAGGAGAAGGATGAGAAGAAGGAGAAGGATGAGAAGAAGGAGAAGGGATGAGAAGAAGGAGGAAGGAGAAGGATGAGAAGAAGGAGAAGGATGAGAAGAAGGAGAAGGATGAGAAGAAGGAGAAGGATGAGAAGAAGGAGAAGAAGGAGAAGGATGAGAAGAAGGAGAAGGATGAGAAGAAGGAGAAGGAGAAGGATGAGAAGAAGGAGAAGGATGAGAAGAAGGAGAAGAGATGGATGAGAAGACAAGAGAAGGAGAAGGATGAGAAGAAGGAGAAGGAGAAGGATGAGAAGAAGGAGAAGGATGAGAAGAAGGAGAAGGAGAAGGATGAGAAGAAGGAGAAGGATGAGAAGAAGGAGAAGGATGAGAAGAAGGATGAGAAGAAGGAGAAGGATGAGAAGAAGGATGATGAGAAGAAGAAGGATGAGAAGAAGAAGAAGGATGAGAAGAAGGAGAAGGATGAGAAGAAGGAGAAGGATGAGAGAAGAAGAAGGATGAGAAGAAGGAGAAGGATGAGAAGAAGGAGAGGATGAGAAGAAGAAGAAGGATGAGAAGAAGGAGAATGATGAGAAGAAGGAGAAGGATGAGAAGAAGAAGAAGGATGAGAAGAAGGAGAGAAGGATGAGAAGAAGAAGAAGGATGAGAAGAAGAAGAAGGATGAGAAAGAAGGAGAAGGATGAGAAGAAGAAGAAGGATGAGAAGAAGAAGAAGGATGAGAAGAAGGAGGAATTCCAAGCCGGCAAAAAGTGTATCTGCAGAGCTCCGCTATTTCTTAGCGGAGCTCTGCAGATACACTTAGCGGAGCTCTGCAGATACACTTTTTGCCGGCTTGGAATTCTTCTTATTTTCATTCTACTTCGTCTTCTTCTTCATCCTCATCCTCTTCCTCAGAAGAAGAAGAAAGAGGATGAGGATGAAGAGGAAGAAGAAGAAGAAGAAGAAGTAGGATGAAAATAAGAAGAATTCCAAGCCGGCAAAAAGTGTATCTGCAGAGCTCCTCTAGTGTTCTGCAGATACACTTAGAGGAGCTCTGCAGATACACTTTTTTCCGGCTTGGAATTCTTCTTATTTTTCTCCTACTTCTTCTCTCTTCTTCTTCTTC